TTCTCTCTAGAACTTAAGGTCTAGCTTTAGGATTTCCTAGTGGCTTTGCTTAGAGGGCTAGTGTTGGGAAACCGATTAGTAATTGAACAATTTCTTGAGTCCTTGTATTTTCATTTATTTGATCTTGAATCTTCAACCTTGAGTTGAGTTGACTGAGGTCAAATTGTTAAAGCTCAAGTTGAGTTCCTACATATTTGAAATACCCTAAGTCCTAGGAAATTAGGTATTGTGGTGAATATTTTCTTGGGGCACTTTACTCACGGATGACTCTTCTCGAGTGATGGAAACACAACCCTTGTCATAGGAATTGGAGGATATGTCCGTAAATGCCCCAATCAAAAAAATAGAGTTCTGGTATTCCCTTCTCAAATTGGCTGGTATGTATGTAGCGCCTCGAGTGATGGAAACACAACCCTTGTCATTCCCATGAAAAGTTATTAGCCGCTTCATAGTTGGCATGTTGTGAAGGTACAGGGACCCAAGGAAACGAAGCTGCCAAAAAGGCAAAAGAGTTTTCTATTCCTAACACTCATTCAATTTATCAATATGCTTTAAATTGGTGATCAAATTGGAGTTGTTCATCCATATTGCAGAGCAAGCACCCATGTGTGCATAGATGAATGGTTTCTTTAGATTATTGTGTGGGTGAAGGTTTTCAAGCATTTCTCTTCATAAGAAAACTTCAAAAAAAGCCCCATACCAAAAGATTAGCATAGATTATGAATTGCAAGTAACAATGACTGCTAAGTGTTCTTAGAATCAAAATGATTTTCAGAAAAATATAGCCATCTTAGATGCACCAAAATTTTCATCAATTATAATTTTAAGGGACCGGGAAAATCTGAACCAGAAACGAATGCTTCTAGATACGTTCAAAATTATTCAAGTAATTCAAAAAAGAATTGTCATTTCTCTCGCAAGTTTCAAAAGCGAAATGCAAATTTTTAAAGTGTCTAATCTTTCTGACAAAGCCTCTCCACAAAACTTAAAGGCATTCCACTGCAATAAACATATTGTGATAAATCATGCACTCAGTTTAATGTGGGATGATCATAGTTAACACCCAACGAACTCATCGGATATTGAAGTAACACCAGAAAGCGGAAGATAAATTAGTTTCACACCTATTAAGTACTACTGAATAGAATTCCACAAGCTAAAAGAATGCTTCAGAGGTGAAATATGAAATTGTATCGCCCAAATCCCAATTTCACACAGTTCATACAGGACCAAGCATAACTCACACACACTTATCTATCACTTCCACGAAACACATTCTGGAGTCGTGGATGTATCCAGTTAAAAGTAATATTATTGAGAGTGACAACAACAATATCAGTGCATCCTTCCATTATATGGAAAAAAAATATCACAGAACTGTGAAGAAATTGCCTTCCTAACAAGTTTCAGGAAAATGCTGAAAAATGAAATATTGTTGGACATTCTTGTGCACAAATAACACTTAAAAGGCAATTTTTCGGTGTATTTCAATGAATCGCCCAAGTAGAGCATATATTCATGATGAAAGCACGTGGAGCTAACAATCAAGCATATAAATTTCAGCCAAGTTTTCAGAGGGATGGCCTAATTTAGTTATGATCTGTTTATCCATAGAATAACAAGGAATTTCATGCAAGAAACCAGTAATTTATTCCATATATATTTCATAAGAAGTTAGTATAATGTCCCTTGTCTTTATTTGACACAAACAATGAAATCGCATACAATGAAAATTTCATTATAGTCGTCAAAATGTGAGTACATGTACTTCAGAAACATACAAAATAAAAATTTCAAAGCATTCTTGCAGGCACGCCTGTGGTAACCCCATTTCAACACAACGGCTATATCTATGAATCTTTTTTCTATTTGGATTGATATCTTCAAGAAATTTTTTTGAACTTATTCTCCTTGGTTCATCCGTAAGTCTACATGAATTTGGTACATCAATTTGCATTCCATCGTCAACTACATGCCTCTAATCCTAACTAGAGTTTCAATTGCACGTTCATATGTCAACCTGTATTTGCAGCAGCTACGTCAATGTTAAAGATATATATATATACACTTTTCAAAAGATAGAAGTTTATGCGTGTTTATAATCTACTGCAGCCTCATGTGAATAGCAGTAGAAGAAGTGGATGCAGGCATTGAACTTCAACATGTGAACTTTCCTGGTAGATTCTGGTAGGCACATAATCAAACTTTTATGCATAGGAAGAATTTCTTATTTTCCAACATTTACATCTTTCAAGAGCCTGCTACCTGATAAGAGTTAAAATATATTGGATTAATTTTTTATTTTTCCTTTTCCTTTGAACATTCCAGAAAAAATTGAAGATTAATGTTGACAGAACTTTGAATAAGCAGCTTTTGACTTCTGAATGTGCTAACGTCTTTTGATTAAGACTTCTGTAATATGAGTACGGTAAAAGAAGTATGAAAATAAAAGTATGGGATTGAACCTATGCATTGTTAAACAGCCATATAATTGAACAAATTACCTGTTTGCATTGCTAAGCTCAACATTACATGCGTGCATATATCGAATCAACCACCAAACCAATAAAGTAGGTATTAATCAGTAACTAGTCACAACCTGATGCTTTAAAAGAAAAATTTTGGCCAACGTCGATCACAATCGTTTGTCTTGGGGCTTTTTTTCCTCTTGGGAGCATTTACATATATACCACCCAATTCTTAT